AAAAAAAACATACTTTGCACTGCAGATAAGCTTCACAGATAACATTCGTCCAATCGGCCGAACTCATCAGTATTTCCTCACTGGTTGGCGCACGATGGATGAATAACAAAATATGGTTCCGGTCAATCGTATTCGAGCGGTAAAGAGCCACGGCAATTTCACCGCATGCACGCTTCAGGGCATTTTTAATACTGCATGTCACCTCCCTACATTATTTTCGTTTCACATACGGAAATAACGGTGAGAAATACTATTCATCGAAGTTGCAGCTTGCCCAACTAGTAACGACTTTCTTCAGGGCATAATTTTCAAGTACGAAAGGCAATTATTTTTACTGCAGTTTCCCGCAACAGACAATAAATTGTCTTTTGGGTATCAGTAATTAACGATCTGACAATTCTAAGAATACATTTGGGGCACTGCATAAAACGGGCAGGAATAGTGCAGTGGCGAGAAGCGCTGCTCGTGTACTGAAGGCCGGGGGTTCAACTCCGCAGACGCAACCAATCCCACTATGATTTGTTCATTCGTTCTGACAGTAGATTCGTAATGATGCATGCCACAAAAGTCAAAATCGTCATCAGCTTGCTTCTAAACAAAGCCTGGAAAACTAAGCAGCCGATAGTTGCCACTGGGAAGTGCTATCACTTGGGCTGTTTTTGATCTTCCTCGCCTCTGGTAGGGAGTAAACATGACTCTTTTTGGCCTCTAATGGTGGAAAGGCCTTTTCCTACTGCTACATTTGATTCAAAAAGCTTACTCGGCTGTATAACTGTCAACAACCCGCACCACTGCACGATAAAAAAATCGATGTTCGGTTGGATCGGCTTTTCCTTCCGCTTTATACAGATGACCGAAATTGTGTGATGACTTTAACTTTTCGATCTGCAATTTATTACTTCCTGCATATGACACAAGAAATCGAGGAAGCAAAAGACTACTGTATTAAAAAATCAGGCAACTACTCGGTAGGATAAAAAAATTTACATTGTAATTGCCCTTGATTCGGTGCAAGCCGAGTTTGGGTAAGTGCGCCAAATCGATGTTGCGCTGTGAACGGATCTCTTCTTTGCAGATCATGTCATAATAGAAAAACATGGGATATGAGTCGGATGACGCAATCAAAATGACCATTTGACGGATATTTTCGTTCTGTACGCGGCTAACTGCTTCCTGGAAAAGTCAGAAGTTGTTCAGGAAGCCTCGCAGGCTCAGGATGCTTCATAACCACAACTAACTCTCTTCAAAATTTTAGCATCACACATGTCAAATAAACATTGCTACTCAGAATTTTAAGAGCTGACTTTGATCAACTGTTCTTGGGTTGATGCGTGAATGTTCTTTATAGTCATTGGTGAGGCTGGCTGCTGCTTTACAGCAGCCAGGGCTTCCCCGCTCCCCGCTTCCCTTCTGTTCAACTTAGCGAATTCAATTATTTTCATAAAACTTTAGCTACCGAAGGCATTTCGCAATAGAGACACAGATATGCATCACTATTATTACTGTTATTACAGTGAGAAGAGCTAATACCTTCAGCATTATGGAAAATTTCTCTTCCAAATTCGGCACACATCTGACTTCGCCAGTACGAGAAACAATATACAGTGTTGTGCCTGGTACGGCAACTTTCGCGGCAGCTTGTGGCAGTCGTTCCACAATATCGGCCACACAGCCAACAATCCGCATCGTCACACTGATTTCTTCTACATCGTCATTCGGAAGGCCTAATCCATGACTAAAATTTTCCACAACATATTACTAAGCAATTTTTTTTTTAACGGCAGCAGCGCAGATGCCCACACTTTTCAGTATGC